GTTGGACTCCCGCCAGAGGAGGCCTGGTTTCAGCAGATGGTGGTGGAGCGGAGGCCAGACGTTTCCTGCTGCGTCCTGACGAGGCACTGATAGCAGCGCTCCCAGGCCAGGCTCTGATGCCTTCAGCAGCCACCCAGGCTGGAGAGCAGGCACTGCTGACATGAAGGTTGGGAAGAGTCCATGAAGCAGCCCCTGGGGCAAAAGACTTTGTGGAAAAGAGGGTCTTGAAATGGTGCTCAGAAGTGGTGGAGCTGTCACACAGAAGATGAGCAGGGGAAGAGCTGGAGTGTTGACTAAGAGGAACTGAAGTGTTAAAACCAGATGGGCATAAACCAGTACTGAGGAGATGTGATTGCTTTGATCTTTGACAGACACTCCTCTGCCTTGTCAAGAAGAGACTTGAAAGAAGAAGGTCCAAATGGAAGGCTTTACTGTGGTGTGGGTTTACCTGCCTGCTCTACAGTCACCGTGTGCAGGGAGCATCTTCTCCTTTCCCCCATTTCTGGGGCGGGGGCAACTTCTCTCAGAACAAATATCCTTAATATGTCCTCAGGCTGGGTTTGATCTTTCAAGATGCTGCCTGCTCTCAAGATGGGGAATCAAAGGGCAATGCCATAATCACAAGCACTTGAGTATCGCTGGATTGTTGCCGTGGCAATTTGCGTACAGGAGAAAATGCAAACAAATTTCTCAGGAGGCTGTATGACTTGGAAATCTTCCAGAAATCCTTCAGGCATCAGTAAGATTAAGGACATCCATAGTTTATCTGGGGATTCGGATCTTGAACCAATGTAGCTAAAATTCACAGTCCCCATGCCATATGGCTCTGTGTTTGGGGATTTGGTGCTCTCCCATTCCCTGCTATCACACACCTGGAACCACTGCATTTGTGTGTCAGGCTAATTTGGGTGATGATTTTGTGCAGGTGGCAAGGCCCCTGTGAACTGCAGCCAATGCCTTCCTTGCACTCCAGCCAATCTGCAGGTAGGCAATGTTGGATTTTGAACGCTTGTGCCTTTCCACTTCACTACTGGATCCCAAAAGGAAAGAAATCCCAGGAAGGCTGAAGTGTTGATTGTGTTGTTACATGTCACTTGCATATATTTCTCCCTCCTTGGCCATTATTTGCTCAGAATCTCTGAGTCTCTGGGTCAGTATAAGAGACAACTGACAAGATCAGGCATCTGCATAGGGGTCAAACCAAAAATATTTTTCCCTGAGCTTCTACCTGCAGAGCATCAACATTCAACAACTCCAAAAATGGGGAAAGGAATGGTTTAAAACTTCATTCAGCCAAGTACTAACTTTCTTTCAGTGAGAGCCCTTCCTTCCTACTTATCAGTCTTGTACAGGACAGTCTGAATCACCACTTTCATGATCCACTGTCCTCTTCTGTGTCGTTTTCTTAGGCTGCAGCAGTTGCCTTTTTCTACCTTACTGACTTCCAACTTGAAGTCAAGACTGCCGTATCTAGGAACACCACATTCCATTTTTAACAGCTCAGCACCTGAGCCCATTTGACATTACACTGAGCCAAAGATTTATTGTACTGTACAGAGAAGACAGTCTATAGAAATGAAGTTTCAAACTATCTGTATCATCAAAGAACATGGATAGACCTTGGGAATTTAATCTGGTCATCATTATTTAGGGAATGCAAGTGATCTGGTCTTACCCAAGATACAGAATGTCACATCCTCCTCTGACCAGCCCTGGTGAGCCATAGCCAGGCTGGAGCCTGGGCCTTGCTGCCTTGCACCTCATGATTGTCCACATTCACACAGAGGAATCCTGTTCATTAGCACCCAAAGGTGCCATGCAGAGGTCTGAAGCCTGTTTCCATCACTAGGCAGAGGGGTGGTTAATGCTCTTCCTTTGCAAGAAGGACTCATGATCATGGGGTCTACCTCAGACTTCCCCAGCACGTTTTTAACATTTCCTGTTATTTGTCAAGTGGCCATACTGTGCACCAGACAATGCTCACTCCCACTCTAAACCGATGCTGCAAGACCCAGCAAAGCTTAGAAAATTTCTGGTCAAGCATGCTTTCATTGTAGTTAAAGTAGCCCCCTTTTCACTGCCCGGTTTGAACACAGACCATTTTCTTCTGTCAGCTGGGATGATGTGAATTTGAAGCTGGGCAAACTGGCTTTTTTAAAAAATTTTTTCTTTTTTTTTTTTTTTTTTCTTCCCTTTAGTAATACCATAAAAGCTGAAGTTTTCATTAAAATTTGTTAGGTGAATTATTAGTTATTGCACTCTGATTTTACAGATACTACACATGAATGGAGATAAGAAAGTAAACAGAACCAGAGCGAAATGTCTTGGGCATAGCTCAGGATACACAGAGACAGGCATCCCTGGGGAAGGAGAGTTGCAAAAAGGCATCAAAATGGAGTTCACTGAACTGGCGTTTAAAGCTTTTGGGAAGTGTCTTTTTCTAGCAAACCTTTAAAGTCAATTATCCTCAGAGAATGTGCTTCATTTTTGTCTTGAGGATAAAGATAGTGAGATTTCATAATTTATCTGGCTCATACCTCCAAGCGTGCAGGTCCCTGGCCCTGTGCTAGACAGGAGGCAGCAGATCCCTCTCTATGGACAGGAGAGTGGGAAAAGTGCCTTCCCCTCGGTGCTGGCTGCCAGCTGGAGAAAGGGCAGCGAGGCATTCCTCCCTGAAAGTGAGAGACACTGTATTCCCCAACTGTCAGACACAATCCATTATGGAAAAAAAACACAAAACAAAACAAAGCCACGCTGAACTACAGCAGAGAAAATCCTGGAAAATAGGTTGGACAGTACTTTAGCACAACTTTTCTCCACAGAGAGGGAATGTGTTAGATCCGAAGCTCCAGAAATGGAGGGAAAATAAACAGAGCTTTTGAAATTAACCTGGCAAAATGGAGTTGGCTCCCACCTGTGTCAGGACTGCACAGTGGAGGTCATCCTCCTGCAGACAGCCAGCTCTTTCTCCAGAGCAGCTCTTTCATTCTCTGTTGAACATCATCCTCGGATGAATATGTCTGTCCGGTACAGGAGACTCGCAGTGCTCTTGAGTTAGAAAATACATGAATTTTAGCACTAGAACAACAACATCAGTTTTCTAGACAAGTAAAATCTGCCTGCAGAAGGAGAGAGGAAGCCCCCACCTACTCACAGTTCAGCTGCTGTGCTCTTCCACAAGGGCAGATGTTTGGAAAATGGGGAAGATCAGGAAAGATCCTGGTCCTGCCAACACTAGTCTGATTTCTGACATGCTTAAACTTTCACACATGTCTTTCTTTACAGTAAGGGGACTTAAAATTAACTCATATGTATTACTTTTGGTGTGTTTCTTATGCAGTGCTAACCAGGAGCTAAATGTCTGCATCAAATTATGGTTTTCAGAACCAACAAGAACTCCAGCAGATGGTTGTAGTGGTCCTTGGTGGATAATCCCTGGAGATGTCCAGTCAGTCCATCTCATAGCTGTTCATCTCCTAGCAGTTAAATAATTCCTTCAGTATCTCCAAGTTAATTCTGTCAGCACTGAGCATGACACAGTAATTCTGGATCTGTTTGTTCTTTGCTGCAGTTACACGTGGCCACATAAACTGTGCATGAGCTGCCACCATCTTTGCCCATTTTGCACAGGTGCATGAGCCTGTAGGAAACACGAGGCAAATTCAGCTGCTTGTGTGGGAGGCAGCCCAAATGGCCCCCACTGATCAACCTGTGAGTGTGCAAAGGGCAGGACTGCCCCGCTCGGTGTGGAAACAGGCACGTGGCAAACCTGTGCTAGGCCTGAGAAGGAAATCTCTTCTTTATGCAAAACAAGACCCTGATCTAAGTTTGGGCTTTTGTGGAATTTTGTTTTGGGCCTGATGCTCAAACCCGGCAATAACAGGCTTATTCTTGGAAGGCTTCACACCAAAGGCTCACAGACAAAAAAATTAAAGTATTTCGTATAGAACAATTGATTGATAGTTAGATATGGGAGCATAAACATAACTTTGGAAGCCCGTGGACCATTTTGACCACCAAAATGCAACCTGGGAGTCTGGCTCACTCGTTTAATCTCTGTGCCAGTTTAATCCCGTTCTGCCCTAAAACACCTGATGTGATTTCAGGGTGGCACGTGGGTGCCAGCCTGGCATGGTATTGCAGATTTTGCAGAAGAGTAGTGACTATTTTTTTTTTTTTTTTTGGGTCATATGATGCCCATACAGCTGTAAATAAACATGATGAAAAGGACATGTCTGGGACCTAAATGAATGAGGAACTAAATAAAAAACTTGTCTTCCAGCTGCTGGTTTAGACTGAAAGCAACACTGAAATCATGTGTATTTTTTACAATTTATTGGAATGGTCTGTGCTCCTGCAAACATGGTGCACATCTGTTGATGCATCTTATTCTGAGGTGTAGAGCCATCAGTTTCAATCTGGGACAATACATAGGCATTGGCCAGAATGATTTTATGGCTTGGATCCTTATGGGTTAAATTCTGATCAGCCAGATGTGACTGAGCCCAACAAAAGATCTCAACACAGCAACCCTGGCTGTGTTGATACAGTTGCTATTAGGTGGAAATTGCCACAAAAATAAAAAATATCACTAAGGACATTCACCCTTGTCTTCCTGTGCCAGTTTACCTGCATAGTGATGTAGTTTTCTTGCAAAAAGCATAGCAGTTAGGATTTAAAATTGATTACTTTTCTGATTAAAATTTTTACTTTTATTAATTATTTTTAAATGACCTTCAGAAATTTTCAATTATCATTAAAAAACATTTTTAATAAGGAAACAAGAAAGCTTAGGTTTTTTTATTCTTCTGAGAGGTTTTGTAAGGGGAAGATCACCATCATTGTCATAGCCATTAATGTTCTCATTTTGGAGCCGTGGAGACGTAAGCAAATATTTATTTTTGAAAGGCCTTTGCTTCGGTTGATGACAAAATGCTCATCCCCTAAATTTAGCAGTGCTGTGTCTCCATGTGTATATTTATATTATTAGTCACCTTTAAGCCCACATTTTCTGTGATCAGCACAAGCTGGGGAGTCACTGCATCCTTGTCAGAAGGGTACCTGCATGTCCATGCCCCTGCCAGGTGGGCTGAGAGTCCCAGGTGTGAACTCCAGGGGGAACAGACCAGAACTGGAGTGGCTGGGAAAAGAGGGGCAACAGAGGGGCAGCTTGAGCAGCCTTTGTTACCATAACCCTAGAGGGAAGAGAAACAATAACCATGGAATATCCAGAGTTGGAAGGGATCCACATGGGTCATCGAGTCCAACTCCTAATAATGACTTTAATAATGGTCACCTTGTATCATTGTCCTTGAATTTAGGTATTCACCTGTCCACCATCCCAGGCTGTGCAGTTTCTCTGGCTTTTTTTCATTAAAAGCCACGATCCCAAGGAGCAGAAATATGGCTTGCGCCTGTAGTTCAGAGAAAGCAGCTGCGGTAGCCGCACAATTTAAATTTTGGGAAGATGTTTTTGCAGAAGGGTTGTGGGTAAAGACCGGCGGGACTAATGGCAACCCGGCCCCACTTATATCTAGGGGACACACCAGGAAGCCTGAGGGCGAGCGCTGGCCCGGCCTAGCGCCGCCGTGCCGGAGCCTGGCTGCCCGGCTCCCCCAGCGCCATGTGAGCTCGGCGGCACTTGTTATTTTGTTTCGAGCGGCGGCGGAGGGCGGGCCGGGCGCGGGGGCTGCGGGGCGCGCCCGGCCGCGGTGCCGCAGCTGATGTAATGCTGCTGCCGCCGCAGCGCCTTCACGTGTCTGCGGCGCGCCCGGCCAGCGGGCAGCGGCGTGTGCCGCGCGGGGCGTGCGCCGTGACACACGGACACGCACACACACACACACACGTGTGGGCTGCGCCGCCGGCCCGCTCCGGCCAGCGCAGCCCCCTCCCCACCGCGGCGGGGTCCCGGGGCTGACGGAGCGGCCGCCCCCCCGCTCGGGCTGCGCTCGCGGCGGGGGCCGGGCGCCATGCGCCGAGCCGCGGGCCGGGCTCGCCATCCTGCGGCGTAGCGGCGGGACGGGTTCCGCCCGTGATGTCCCCCGGGCAGCGGGGGAAGGCGACTCACTCGAGCGCTGCGGCAGAGGCCTAGTGCGGCCAGCGCCGCTCGCGTCTCATGGCCGAGGAGCAGCAGCCGGAGGGGGGGCAGCCGCCGCGGCGGCTCGCCGGCACCCCCGCGCCCGGCGGGGCCCTGCCGGCCCTGGTGCCGGGGCTGCAGGGCGGCGAGGCCAGCGCGCTGGCGGGCTCGGGTCACCTGCCGCGGGCGCTGCCGCCCCGCGCATCTTGCGCGGCCCGCGGCGCTCCCGGCCGCGCTCGGAGCGCGCACACGAGCGCGCGGTGCGGCGGGGGATGCGGAGCTGGGCTGGAAGGGTGCGATTGTCCAGCCTCCTGTAGAGCTCTGCTCTTCTGAGGTCCCAGTCAGGCAGTTCAAATGCAGTTTTGGCTGGAGATGGTTTTCAAGTTTCTGCATAGGAATCCCGGTTTTTTGTTGATTTTTTTCCCTAAAAATTCAATTTTTTAGTAAATCAGCATTTTATTTAAGAATTTTATTTCATTTGTATTGGTGGAAGGAGGTGAACCGAGTTTAGGTTGGTGCAAATAGAGCACTTTGTTGGTTTTTTTTGTTTTTTTTTTTTTTTTTTAGTATCTGCAAGAGGCTGTCACCTGCAGCATTTGTATTTTATGTACGTTTTTAAAAGCTGCTTTTGGCTGAGGGCACTGGTAAAGAGTACTGAAAGTTGGGAGTTGTAAATACAGGTTACTCATGTAAGGTTTTCCTTTATATACACAAACACCATGTGTATTTTATACATAAACTCATCCCAATAAAAACATACTGATCAAGCTTGCATATTACGTCATATTACAGTTAGAATGTGTGGTTTGAATGGATGTCGCTAGAAAATAAAGAGAATCTAAATATAATTTTGCCTTCAGATTTTTTTTATTGTATGGCATACTGAAATTGCTTATGTTATTGGGATGGTGGTTGTTTTGTTTTTATTTATTTAAACAGTAAATTATAGTTCATTCTCCTTCATCCACACTTGCTACCTTTTGTTTTGGTCTTCTCTGCAATGTGACCTAGAGAAGGAATATGATCTGCAGAATTTTTTGTCTTTTTGGATCATAAAATCTTCACACCTCCTAATTTATTATGGTATTTAGTGATGGCCTTTTCACGTTTCCTTCTCTTTGCATGAACGTGCTGTGTGGCAATGAGCCTCGGAGAGCATGTTTACATTGCATTCGGATTAGGAGGTATCATGTCCAAGTTGAAGACAAAATGGCTACTAAGTAAAACCTCTGCTTTTATTGTGGCTTTTCTTTTCAAGGGAAAAGAGCGCATAGGTTACCTTCCGAAATGAAAACTGCTAGTTTGATTCAGGTGAACTTGGTGAATAGCCCAAGCCCGTGTTTGGTACAAAGGAATGAAGCGTTTTGCCCGGGGTCAGGGGCTTGCCTGGTGCCAGGTGCCTGTGGCCGGCAGAGGGTTCCCAGCCCTGTCTCTGGCACTGCAGGCGTTCCTCACCTCCACAGGGCTCTCCTGGCTTCCTGCTTCTGCACCGGGCTGCAACTTCCCTGCTGCTCTCAGGCAGCATCCATTCCCTGCAGGTTGAAATGCAGCATTTGAAGATAAGGTTATTTTTAAATGAGAAAACCTTTTATTTTCTTTAGAGAATCTTATGTTTCTCTGTTGTGATCAAGCAGTCTTCCTTTGAGGTTGGAGTTTAATGTGGATTCCCATCTTCCTGGACATGTGGTGGGTGTTTGGGTGCAGCAGGGATGAGGAGCACTGCCGGGGGTGTTGTGCAGTGCACACTGTGCCCCAATAAAAAGTGAAAGTCTCCTTCTGAACTGGGGCACACTGGGCTCTGCTCTCTGCTCAGTGCTGGTGATGGATAAACAGCAGGAGAGGTTGTGGAAGGCCGGGTTGAAAATGGCAGTGCCTGCTGTAACAGAATGAGGTGTAATGTGCAGAGCAGAGCTTCTTCCTCTTTTCTCCCTCCCTCCTCTTCCTCCCCTCTTCCCTTGCCGTGCAGTTTGCATGTGCTGGCAGGTTGGTGCATTCAGTTCCCCCTTTGCTTCCCAGCAGGTTTAGCACATCCAGCTCAGTACTCTTCTCTGTTGTTCTCCCTCCACGTCCTTTTTTCCTGCACGTGTTTGTACATAGTCGATGGATGCTTTTGGTTGTGTTTGTTACAGGTTTGGTTTTGTTTGGTTGTTTTTTTAAAAGGTTTCAGTGTTCGGATTGTATTGTCAGTGAAAATAGTATAGCAAAATATAGCAGCTACATAAATACGGGACTTGAGGATCACAAACAAGTCTGTGCTTGTCCTGCCCCTTCACAGACAAATATAAATATAGAGACTGATGCAGGCCACGAGTGGGACAATGAGCTATTAATTATCTCAACTCGTACTTATTTTATTCTGTTTATTAAATTAAAATGTAGTTTGACAAAAACATATTAAGTAATTGTGTACATGTGGAGTCCCTTAAATTGAAACAATAGTTTAAGCCCTGCTGGTTACATTTGCAGGAATGGTCAGTATAGGTACTGAAGACTTAAAAATACGCTTTTTAGGTGTCCAGTCTGTTGATGTTTGGGGTTTTTTTTTGTTGGGGTGTTTTTTGGCATATAAGGTGACCACTAGTTTGAGCTGAGGAGGGGATGATAAAAGAGTGCTTAAAGACAAATCAGGAAGTATTTATTTGCATTATAACATCATATGCAGGTATTTAACTGCTGTTTGGTTACAGTAATTGAAGCTCATCACTGTCCGTCTGCATTTGTGTCCTGCTGCCCCACTGGAACCCATGCAGCAAATGTCTGGTTTTGTTTGGTGCTGCGTGTGTGAGCTGCTGAGGCGCTTGGATGTGTTCTTACGGTGTGGGTGAAGCGGGCAGAAATAATACTGGATGTCTTTTCCCATTGACGGATTAGAAGTCTAGACAGAGAGAACACGTCTTTGGGAGCCCAGCCTGCCTGATTAGTGTCAGCATGGGCGGGTTTGTAAATTGCCCTGGTCTTCGCTGGACACTGGGCCTTAATCTGCCTGGTTTTATTTCTCTTTCGATTCGTTAAAGCTTTCATATTTATTAATAGATTTTTGTCCAGACGTTGGAGCCCCAGGCGGGAAAACCTCCCTAGTCAGCTGTCTGAGCATATAGACTAATGGGGTTTCACTCATTTCTTTGGGTGAGGGTGCTGTATTACCAAATGTGTGTTATTTGTATATGATGTTTCTGTACCCAAACATATGGTGGTGAAGACAGAGTCTCCTCAGTATCACATTGACTTGCCAAGGAATGTCTTGCAGCTGAAGACAGCCAGTGAAGTACGGATATAAAAGCAGCGTGGCACGAGGATTGAGATGCAGAGATGGCCAAGGAAGGATGGTGTCAGCTGAGGGTCTGTCATTGCTGGCATAAAAGAAAAAGACCAACAGTTTTAGGCAATTTAATCCCTCTGCTCACTGTATTAATCCAAAATCCAGTAGCTGTGAACATTGAAGGAGCAGACAGGTTTGTTTTCTTGTTCACTGTTGCAAATTACTAGTGATGGTTCTGCAATGAGCACTTGTTTACCATTGTAAATAGTAATCTGGTGATTACATCTGTGCATGGGTTGGCCCCAGCTTCTTTCACCTTGCCTGCATCTCAGCTCTTTTTGTCCTAAAGGCATCTGTTAGGATTTGAATATAGCAGTTCTGCTTGAGAGATTAATTTCTCTCCTTCTCCGCCCCAGTGTCTCATGTGTAAACCAAGCTGAGGACCAGGCAGACACAAAGCACTGCATTTGCAACCATTTCAGGCTGTGGGTTTCAGACCCATAATTTTTGTCCTCCAATCACTCTTCTAGCTACAAGTTGTATTGGAAAACCACATGAGCAAATATGGGCAGTGCTGACACTGTGTCCTGATGCCCAGTTTGTCTCATGTTGAAGGAGGAATAGGAGGTGAATTGTGCCCTTATGTTTGGGCTCTTGTTATTGTGCTAGAAAACCAGATTAGCTGATTGTAACACCGATGGGTTCTAATCTTTGGAAGGCTCCATTCTTTTTTATGACTTAAAACATTCCTGCTCCCTCCTGCAGTTGCATCCATCACTCCTCATTAGGCATTGTCAGCAAGCGTGGATCATCACTTAGCTGTTGGCAGAGCAAATGTTCTGCAACTTGGGAAATGCCATTGAGATTTTTCATAATAGGAATTGCTACTTATTTGTATAATTAGGTCAGCAGAAAAAATTATTGACTTGATATTTTAAATAAAAATTAATATTGATTGACTTGATATTTTAAATTAAATGCCTGGCAATGAGGAGGGAAGCTTAAGGGGTATGTGTTTCAGGCTTTTAGCAAATGCAGATGGATATACCTTTTTGGTAGTTTTCTTTTGCATTTGAAGTTTCTGTATGTAATTTTTTAAAACAAGTGTTTCTTGGGTCAGGTTGGACTAATGTGTCAATCAATCCATCTGCATTTTCTCTCTCTCTTGTAGCTTGGAAGAGGGAGACCTGAAGTAAGAGAAAAAACCTCTAACACAACCTTCATTATTTTGTTAAGTAGCCTGTTAAAACTGGGAGAACTCCAGATTTCCTCTGATTACAGAGTACTTGTGGTTATTCTGTGCCCCCAGCCCAAAATGTATTTGCCATCATTCTCCCCTTCCTCCTGATTAATTCATGGAGGTGGGAAACACAGGTTATAATTCTTTAATGACAGATTACTGATTTCTGTGAGGAAAATCAAATTGTCATTGACAGGTGTACAGGCTGCACTTACTTCACTTAATCTATGCAGCATCAGAAGTGTGTTTACCTGCTTTGAAAAAGAACCTTGAGCCCCTTAGCTGAGAGATGATGAGAGTGTAAAACTGCAGAGATTTCTTGTCACTGACTCAGTTTTCCCTGGCTTCTTGGTTCCAGTGATTCCAAGTCTTGGTAAGGTTTGCCTGTCCTGAATGTGTTTCCTGATGTGATGTATAAGCAGTC